TCAGCAACAGTTAAAGACTAATCTCTCATGCTTTTTGTGCATTTACATAATTGATTTGCTAGATAATGCACTCTGCTTCCTTATTTAATAAACATGTTAATTATTTCAGACAATTACTCAAAACTGCCTACAAGTGTCTGTCTAAGAAACACCCAAAAAGAAATTAAAACGAAAATGCACACCAAAAGGCACATCCTTCATATCACATAACACAAGATATTAAGTCAATATGTCACCCTGTCAACAGTCACTTGCTACCTGCTGTTCTACATTTATTCAAACTCTCGTGTATTAGCCAGGGCTGTGGCACTGACTAGACACCCATGTGGGCTAAAAAGGGAGCTCGAGAATAAAACTGGTGTGCTGTCAAAAGTCTGCGTGTATGTGAGTGGGGAGGGGAGCTGTGAGACAGAAGGAAAGGAGGAGGGAAAGAAAATAATGCAGGGTGGAAGAGAAGATTAGAGAAGACATCTCTGTCGTGTAGTCTCCTTTGGGCTACAGGGGGGAAATTATGGAAAAACTAAGCTTGTTCTATTTTTCCCTCCACGGCTCCAAGAAGGCCCAGCAGACAAATGTATCACTTTGAATCTTGTAAGCCAGCACACATTTTAGCCACTCTTTTGTTCAGATGCAAAGCACTAGAGAAGCTGCTGATTGTAGGGCTGGGATTGGGGACCCACATCCCACGTGTCCCTGCGATTCCAGCCCCCAGCAAACGCCCCAGCACCAAGAGCTGCCACCAGAAGGGTGGAGGAGATGTTCCTGCTGGCCACACCTGCACAGGGCAAGCTCCACAGGCAGGGCATTTTTAGGCCAAGATGTTCAGGGCTTCCCTGTCTTGCCCTGCCTCCACAAGAGGCAGTTAGGACTTCTACAGACACATTTAAAGGGAGCCCAAGACAAAATGAAAAAAGCGGGAGGGGGAACAGAGGAAACACCAGCAAGACTAATAGCTGGAGTCTCCATTACTACAGAACACCTAATCCTGCACTCAAAGGAAATTCCAGCACAAGCAGCTGCAGGTCCAATCTCCTACTTGACATAGAACATTACACAGCAAAGGTCAATTTGCTTTTGGAAAACTGGCTAACAGGAGGCACTGCACAAAGCCATCCACAGAGCTATTTTCATGGCCTGCACTGCAAAGAGATCTAAGAGGGTACCACTTGTCCACCCTCTCAGCTGGTGGTTAAATTGCTCCAATAACAGCTGACAACCAAGAGAGCAGAATAAGACAAAAATTGTCAGTGTCTTATCTACAGTTTTTAATCATAGCAGGTATTTTAAAAATAGCTATTCACTCCTCTGTGTGTTGGCTTAGCAATTCAGGGAGGGAATCAATAAAAAAATATTATGCTACACCACTGTTATCTTCATCCAAGCAAGGTTAATGGAAAAGTATCAGGAGGATGTTTCACTAACTTCAAGTTAAAAACAAGAAGGTAGGTATGGCTGTGCAATAAAGGAAAACCAGGACATTATGATGAGAAAATGAGAAGTAGAATGGTTTTCTTGTGGCACAGTCAATAACTTGGCCACTGTACAGCGGCAATAGCAATACTTCATATTTCTGAATTCATCGCTTTTTAATATTTTACCTATATGAACCATATCCACAGCCTGGACACAATGCCAATCTTATAAAACTACCTGCTTAAAGGATGGGAATTAAAACTATCTTACTCTTCTCTGGTAATAATGAGCTGCTGCACTATCAAGCGTTTTGATCACCACTTCTCTATTGAAATTCCTTGCATTCAAGAAAACGGGCACAGAGACTTTTTATGCTTCTGACCACAGCATACAAATGCCACAGTTACACAAGAGAGATGTTTAAGCTATGAGTTTGAGTATATGGTTTAAGCCATGGTTTTAAGTATAACCAGTGAGTGTGTGTTCCTGAGCTTCTATTGGTTTGCAATGTCTTAGGAGCCTTACAAGGATGCTGGATTTGACACCTGATAACTTCCCCTGGACTGGCAGGGAATATTTTGCAACCATCACTGATGCCATATGGACTGAAAGGGAAAGTTTTCAATAACTCCTGTATCTTTAAAGTTTCCATAACCAGACTGTTGGCCATTAATGAATTCTGACATTTTATGAGACCAACTGAATGGCAAGGACATCACTGCTCTACAAATAATTGCCACAAACAAAAAGCTCCAGTTCTCCGTGTTCCCATTTGATTTCCATTGCCAGTGAACATGGAACAAGTCAGCACCACCATACTTTCAGACCCTAAACACTCAGGAGCAACAGCTTTTCTTATCATCCTTCACAGGTGACCATCTGAAAAGTAACAGACTTCCCCCAAACTCCATCCTGCCCCTCTTGTCTGCCTCCAACGCTCGGGTTGATTGCCAGGATTTCAGTTTACATCATTATTCTCATTCTCCCCAGCCTACAGAGATACACAGTGTCACTGGCAGAGGTGAACATAAAATGTTCTGAACAGGCTGAAAGAACCTTTAGACACCACTAGACACCAAGGAAACAAATGCAGCAGGGGTTAAGCCTCTTAATCGAGCTGTGCAGCTTCAGAGCACGACCAATTTTATTCAGAACACACCAGCAGCATAATAAAAATAAGTACTGCTGCAAACCCTTTGGGTTTTTACTCCTGAAGTTACATAATGTAAAAATTCACAGTGTATTTGGTTAGCTGAAGTGGGCATATAAATTGGCCAGAAGTACCACTTGAAATGTTACAAGTGGCCTTACTTGTCCTATCCAAACCTATTACATTTGTTAGTATTTAGTTACCTAAACCCCTCCCGCTGATCCATCAGTTCTGCTCAACTTTCAGTTTCTAAATGTTCTTTCTTCCTCAAGGTACCATATTGGTTTTCCTGCCCCACTGCTACTATTCCACCTGGAGCAGATTCAGGATGAGGACAAGTAAAAACAGGATCGGCTCTATAAGTGAACTACCAAAGCCAAGACTGCCTTGTGGTCAAAATAAAAGGCAGCAAGTAAATGCTTATAGATTATGGCTAATAAATATGTCAAGTCACAGACTAATGCCTAGTGACTCTCAGACTTATTTCTTTTTTATTTAAAAGACTCCAATGAGCAAACAACATAAAAAGCAAAATTTTTGCATAATAGGAGAAAAAGAAACCCACCAAACACAAAAAGCACAGTACACCCATCTAATTGCAAGTGCACCAAAGAAAATCAATTTTTGTAGGTTTGGGCTATTTTTTCCTCTGTGGTAGGAAACCTTAAATAAATGTAGCATCCCATTTTTGCAGTCTCTGTCAAACACCTACGTGTGAGAAGGCAGGGAAGAGACAATGTGAATAACCCTTAATCTGTGTCTCCAAGAGGGCCAGCACAGTAAGACACTTCTGTTGTGCATGATATGCAAAAGCACTCGCTTGGGAGCAAAGGGGCAACTCAGATTGCAAGGCAAAAGGCTTAACACAGGTAAGAAAACCTTCTTGTCCCCCCTAGGTCTATTACTTTCTCCTAACTGCTCCCACTGGGTTATATCCTCAGCTGGAATGAATCAAAATCAATGAAGCAAAGCTTATTGACACTGGTTGTTCACCTCTTGTAAAATCCCCCTGCAAGCAGCATATTCAAGCTGCTCCTGATGCCTGAGACAGCCCTTCTTGGAACACACAAAATAACACCCTGCTCTTCCTCCACAAAGCTCATCAAGACCAGTGAGTGTGTTCAGTGAGCTCTGCTCCAAAACATCAGCCAATCTCCATTATAATGGCAGGGAACAATATTCTTTCCAAAAACAGGAAGCCGACACAAGAATATAAAAGCAGGACCTGCTCTCCTGAGATCTGTGCCCACCTCCCTTCCCCCTCCCCCCCACTTCTCTCCTTTGCATTTCTCCTCTATTCTTTGAGCCTTTCTACCTGGTTTATCTACTTCATTTAGACTGTAAGCTCTTTGAGGCAAGAGCCAGTATTCTCAGGGGTTTGAAAAACATCACTGCAAACTTCGGGCATTCTATTAAAGAGCTATTTTTAAATAAGGCTCTCTTGCAGGATGAGAGTGATTTATCAGTCATGCCACTGACATCAATGCAACATGTACCCTGCACAGTGGTTAAGCTCACTATGCTAGGAAGGGGGCAAGGTGCCATGCAATCTTTAGGATTCCACGTTTTAAGCCACTATACATGTTCATTTCATTGCAAAAGCTGCATTTTTAAACTAAAAACAGATGGGAAAAAAAAATTCCACTTCTGTAAGTAGCAGAGTTCCAGTTGTGAAATTCAAATGTTATGTTTATTTCACACGTTAAATTATATATAAGGTGCCATGTTAAATTATACATATAGAAAGAGCTCATGTAAGTGAGGTAAAGTCTCTCCAGATTTCTCGACTTTTCCCTTTCAAAAAAAAAAATTAAAAATCTGCCACTTCCTTCTCCTTTTTGTTTTGTCAGCAGAAGGCAAGAACTGTGTTAAATTCCGATCTCAGGCACATGCCACAAGCCTTGAGGGGACATTTACCTTCATCCTGTCCATCTGAACCTAAGGCATTCTCTGCCACTCGAAACACCTCAGAGGTGTCTACGCTTCCAAGACAAGAAGGCATCTACTTTCTCCCGTGTATAAAAGCACCCTTTAAGAGGCTGCTTATCCTGTACTCTTGCAATCAGTACACTGGGTTTTTCAGGCAGTACCATCTGGAATGACTCACCTATCAGCAATAAAGCAGAATCATGAAAAGGAGGCCTTACAGGAAAAAAAAATTCCTTGCAGCCAGTTGCACAGTTCTTTCTACTTCATCATCACTCCTGTTCCCAATACTGGACCAATATATTCTATTCGGATAACATCACCCATCCCTTGATGAGATCACTCAGAATAGGATGGGAGTCAAGTACAGTAACAGGCACAACATGTGGACACCACTCAAAAATTCATTACCAGGTCTACTGAAAGCCAGAACTGCGGCAATTACGAGGTTTGGAAGCAATTTATTTAGGGTACATAAAGTACTTCTTCCAACTGCTCATTATTGCTGCTACCCAGAAGAATCATTAACAAAGTACCACAGTGATGAACAGTTTCAGTGCTCACTTTGTTTCCTCTCCTGTTGCTGGGTCACCACCGTCCTTCACGTTCTGAGCAGCTGCACAGGTGATCTGAAGCCCTATTCCCAAAGAAACAAGGTCTAAGACATAAAACTGTACAAAGAGTTTAGCAAGTTTTCTTTGCATTTTGGAGGGAGATGATAACTTGTGTCTTTCCTTTTTTTTTTTTTTTCTGAAATGTTTCTCATTCTCTGGCACTTCCAAAAGCTCCTGTCTGCTATTTCAAATACAAGTGCTAAGAGTTTTCGCATTCTACCATTCCTTCTCCTCCAAAGTGTAGTTACTAATGGTAGACCTGGGAGTCTTTGCAGACAAAAGTATATTAAAGAGCTTTCATCTGATGAATATGGAATGATACCCATGCCCAGGTAGGTATTTGAGATGCAGACAGTCCCAACAAAACTCAAATTACCTACAAACACCGTGATAGAGAAAGACAAAACACTTGCAAGGAAGTCAGAAGTTATCTTTTTGAAGTGCAATCCCATCACATCATCTCACCCAGTCTTTGCTTAAAATTTACCTAACAGGGCTTTGTCTTGCTGAGGCACTGGGGGGAGGAGATGGGAAGATGGTAGCATCTGGTGGCATTGTTCGCTGTAACGGCTGGAAACGTCTTCCAGCTGGAAAGAAACAAAATTCACAAACTTTTCTTCTGCACCAGTAATTATCACATAAGAATAAACGTGTTGTGAACACTGGGGATGTATTTTGAAATGAGCTTTGAGCTGATCAATCTGGGGCACCAAACAAACCAGCACAAAGGAACAGCATGAGATAACAGCCACCATCCAGATGGCAGGGAACAGATCAACGCTGGGAATGCTTCTCTCTCCTCACAGGCTCTCCACTAAACGGCCTAAGTCACCTGAAGAACAGATTCCCTGTAAATCTCACCAGAATCATAACCCTTTTATTCCTTTTTTCCCCAGCCATTGCTCCTTCCTTCTATCTCCATGCAAACGCTCCTTGCACCATCCCTGACCTTCCTGCTTCCACCAAATGGAGAGATGTAATCTGTTGCTCCCCTATTTTTGCCTTTGGAAGCTCAGACTGTCCAAATAATTCTGAGGCCATAACTGCAGGCCATCTCCAAGCATACTACTTCCACTGTATTTATTATTCACCCTTTTTCCATACTCCCTGTAGCAACCAATGCCATGGACTAAGAGTGGTTTTCATTTCTAAATGTTAGTCTGAATTCTGCCCTTTCTTCTTCTAGAGAAAAACACCTTCAGGAATACTCTTTCTGCATGTTAATTTGACTGCAAATACCTGATCTGAATTCTGAGTCATTAGCAAATGAGATGACCTATGACAGAAGCTGGTCTGCCTTAGATGTATGAAAGCTTATCAGAGAGGGCATTTTCAGATCAAGAACCTCTATTGCCTATAAAGCTCGTGGGATGTTCTGTAATACTGGAGAATATTATTTATTTACATTAATAAAACATTACTTCAGTACCAACTTGGAGAAACAGCAGAAGGCTGCATTGTACCCAATTCCAGTGAACCAGCTCATCCCATTACATCCATTACAAGCACATTAATTTGCACTTCCATATTTTAAAAAAAATAAATCATAGAATTATAATAAGGTTTGGGTTGGAAAGGACCTTAAAGCTCATCTTGTTCCAACCCCCTGCCATGGGCAGGGACACCTTCCCCTAGCCCAGGTTGCTCCAAGCCCCCTCCAACCTGGCCTTGGACACTTCCAGGGATGGGGAATTCACAGCTTCTCTGGGCAACCTGTGCCAGGGCCTCCCCACCCTCACAATAAAGAATCAAACTCCTCTGCTACACCAGAATTACATTTTCTTATCCCAAGACACTACAATGAAGGTATTTCCCATTCAATGTCCTTACTGCTCCTACTTACATCACAGGCACTGGAATGTCTGTAGTACAGGAGAAAGCCACCATTTGTTGGAGAAATACATGTTTCACCCAATGAGCAATTCTGCTGCAGAAAAATAAATTGCCAGGTTTAATTTCTGACTGCATTTTTTTGCAACAAACCAACACAGAAAATATTTAAATTTGGAAGTATTAAATAAGCAATCCAAGCATAGTAACTGAGCAGTCTGTTCACTGATGGCCCACAAGCCATTTTGAAGGCAAAAAAACATGTGCCAGTATATATTTATATAGGCATATACATTCTCACTTACACCACAGGAAAAGACAAATGTGTTCCTAGATGTTATATAAAGTTTAGAGTTCAGGGGGGTTGTCTTTAATTTAAAAGAAAAAAACTTAAATCTTCATCTATGCAGAGGGAAATCTAACATGTAGAAGCCCATGTTTAAAACTTCCCCCAAAACTCTGAAATACCATGTTTTCATATTCATAGCCCTATACTAAATATGAAACATTTCAGAGCAAATGTTTAAAGCTGGTGAATATATGACAGAATCACTAGGTAGGCTCAGAAAGTGTCTTCTAGAAAAAGCACATGATCTCCTCCAATGAATGTCAAGATACTTTAAAGAACTTAGGCCCAAAAATGACCACTGGAGTATCTTTTAAATTCACAATTAACTTGCTTCATAGCAAGATAATCCCCATCTCACTTAAGTTGCATCAGCTTGAAATGTTCATCCTGTTGTCTTTAGGGAAAGGAGGGAGCTGTTTCTAAAGGGGCACAGCATGAACCCTCAGTGGGCCAAAAGAAACTGTTCAGCACGAGGCTACTGAGAACTCACCCCCACACAAGAGCCTGTTCCTGCTGCACCATCGACAGAACCTCTGCCCACTTCTTTCATTGCTTTAACAAGAGTTGCCACCATCAAACCACCAATACAATGCAATAATGCAGCATTATCTACCCCCTGTGTTGTTTGACACATGTACTCCAATTTAATGCTGAAAAAGAAGGCTTGCAAGGTGGTACTTTGAAAAGACCGTGTATCTCTTGAGCTTGGGTTGACACAGGTGAGGAGGCAGCATACCCTGTAAAACAGGCACTCCAGAAGACAGATTTTGGAAGGATTGATAAGAGGGGAAAATGGCACTGGAGAAACCCAGTAGGCAGGTGGAAGAGCTGCTCCAGGCAAGTTGAATCACTGCCATAAACAAAGCAAACCTGGTTCTAGGACTGTGCTCAAAGAGCCTCCATCTGAAGGAGAAAATAATTATTGCCAAGCTTCACACAGCAACCTGCCACATGTTAGTAATGGCCCCATGACAGTTTTCTCATTCTTTACCTCACACGAAACTCCAGACATTCACACAGACCTCATTAGGGCTACAGCCCCACTGCAAGCATTTGCATGCTTTCAGCAACATCTCTGTTGTTAGGGGATGTCTGGGGCGGGGGGAAATCACAGCAAAATGGGGAACTGCACCTTTCCACTGGGAGTAGAGCTTGAATGGCGAGCAAGGAGCCTTCCTCTCCTTCCCCAGACTCCACCTCCCCTCCACACTTCCCCAGTTCCTCCTTCCTTTGCTTTTTCTCAGCTCTAACATGTGCCTGCAAAGCAGTCTGTTCCGCAAATGGCAGCAGAAGCCTCTTTTCTTTCATTTCAGCTGCTCTTTCAGTCATCCCCTCCACACCGTGGGAAACCAGCAAGTTGAAAAGAGGTCATCACAGTCCCTGTGTCCCAGGAAGACAAAAAGTCTTCATAGAAAATAGGTGTGATGTCCAAATGCCTCTGTCAGGCAGCACCAGCGCTGTGCCCTGAGAGCAGAGTGGGTTATTCTGGTGCAATTCTGTCCTGCAGGAGGGCCAGGACTCCAACCAGCCAGGGATGGCCTGATGCATAAGGCAGACACGAGAACTCAACTACATTATTTATCCTTTTTACATAATAGATGAAGGGAAGGAGGAGTTACAGAATGGACTTCGGTCTTAACATAAACCTATCTGCCTGCAGAGACAGCTTCGAGGTGGCAAAACAGACTTACAGGATGTTTCCACCAGAAAAGATTTCTAAAAATCTAGACAACAAATCAGCCAAAAGCAAACACATGCAAAAGCTTTTAAAAACTTGCCTGCAAAATGGAAAGTGAAGCAGTCCTTCAAGTGCTAAATACCAGGTGCTTAAAAAGACCTAAGCTTAAAAATTCCATTGAAAAGTACTTAGAAGTTTGAATTAAGGAAAAAAAAAAAAGTCCTACATAAGGAAATAACTTTAAAAAGTCTGTACAAAGCTGAACATTACTCCATACTGATTAAAAAACAGGAAACTTCTTTTAATGAATTTTACTCTTAGACTGAATGTGTCAGAATTCAAGATTGGTGAATAAATTCCAATTCTCCTTTAAATTACTGCACAAATGAGGAAGTAAAAAAAAAATAGTTCAGCCAGTGACATAACACAGTCACTGGCCAAAGCCCTTTCTGGGTATGTGGCATTTTTAAAGAAACAACTGTTGTCCTAAAACATTTCTAGTGTCAGAGTTGTACCTGGAATTGTATCAAGTACCAGAGGAAAAGAAGGAAGTTCCCCAACACATCCTGAATCTCATCAATACCATTACAGCACTGCTGTGAGGTATTTAGATATAAACCTGTCCCAAAGAAGCACGAACACATTAGCATATTGTGGCAAACTGCAAATTAGGATTTTAAGCTTTGCACAAGAGACCATTTAGCCTCTGTAGGATCTTGTGAGAACAATACACACTGCAGACATCTGAATATTTTCTTTCCCCAGGAAAAAAAACAAAACCAAAAGGAAGGATAGGAGCGATAGCCTATAAGAGGAATCACACTAAGTTAGTCCAAATTTCTGACAGAGAAGCAGAGTATTAAGCATTTGGGTCTTAAGACAGACATCCTTTTCTCAGGTACCTTCATGCCCTAAACAACAGGTGTACCACAGGATGGCAAAACCCAATATACCAGAAGGGTATTTTGTTACTCTCTGGCTGCAGCAGAGGACTCTTGAGCTCTTCCATAAAGTGTTTGGGAAACCAGACAATTAGGGGATTTCTGCAAACAATTCTATGTAAGGGAATGCTAAGAAGCCATTTTGTGAGATTTCCAGTGACAAGTACTATAAAGGATAAGAAATGGGGCTGAAATGCAGTTATACTTTTCCCAGCAGCCTTCCTCAGCATCTGGTCATCAGTGGGAGTGAGACTTCCCTAGCCAGGCAATCCACTTGGACTACCAGTCTTCAGTCAAGGAAGTAACATGAGATCTGCCCCTAGTTTTAGATTCAAATTTTATTTTATTACTAGGAGATTTATTATGAACACTTGAAAGGCAGTTTAAGATAAAAATCACTACGCAGGTTTTACATGCAGGCTTTATGTTTACCATATATCATACACTACCAAGGATCTTTTTGCACTATTCTTAATGTTGCAAGAACTCATGTACACACAAAAAAATACTGTACATTTGTTGTCATTAGTGATAACCTGCTAGATACCACATTGAAGTACCTGCAAATAGCCTGACTGTGCTTTTCAGGACCACCACAGTCCTGCTTTTCATAGCCTCTCTTCTGAAAGTGCTCTTTTCAAATTGAGCTCTATCCCTGCCAGCCTTATCCCTGTCCTGTTCAGCATGAAGATGAACATGCTGGAACTTGTTCTGTTTGCAAATATACATTACTTAAACCCTTCATCACCACCAAGAGAGGCTATCAACAGATTATTCCCGTACTGCATTTATATGAAGTGCTTCTGGGAATAAATCAGGAGTCATAAATCCTTATTTAATTAACTTGTGTAAGAAAACACGAGTGCACAAGCACTTTCACACCAAGGCTCTGACAAATCTAATGGTGGAGCAGAGCTGACACTATCAAACCCCACCAGGTAAATCACACCTTTTGTGTCTGCACAGCCATGCAGAACATTACCTGGAAATCACAGAGAGACTGAGAGGTTCACAACATTGTAAAATACAGGAAATTTCCAGTGCTAATAGCTGCCAATGGAAAACTCAGAGGAAACGCAGGAACTTTTTGGCAAGTACAAAACCCTACAATTTTCAAGTGATCTTCCCAATTTCTGTAATATCAAAATCCTAACATATCATAACCTCCAACTTAAAATAAACTAGTTATATCCAACACATTCACAGTTACCAATAAATGATGTATTTTTTCTATGAAGTGTATGGCATGAACCCAACACAGGAAAGAAGATCCCCAAGGCAATGACTTCATAAAAACCTCACCTCCTGATATATAAGTGTTTTTTTATTTCAAGTACAACTTGTTTAGACAATATAGACAGCACTGTATATTGATAACATCATCAAAAGTATCAGAACCAAGAACTATTTTATTTTTTGACAAATGAACCTTACAGAAGCCGAGAAGGATTCTTATATATAATAAATGCACAGGAATCAAAGCCTGCACTGCTATTTCATTAGAGAGTGAACAGCCAAAAATATGAGACAGATGCAAAATGGTATGCACCTTCCAAACACCATAATTCAATATAAGTTTAAATGGTAAATAAGCTCAGCACTGAACAATGTTCTAGAGCCACCCAAACCCAGTCAAATAAATCATCTCTTTGAACAAGTAAGCTTTTAAACAGGCGTACTTACAGGAGACTAGGCTCTAAATTATTATTTTTCCTAACTTCCGAAATAAAGCTACGACAATAACAGAACCAACAAGATATTTTAGAATATCCCCTGCATGCCAAATTGGAGCACTAAGTAGTATTCCAATTTTCTTTTCCATTTCAGCTTCTGACTCACTGAAACATCCTCCTCGATTTTTACATTCTTTTTCAACAACTGTGTGTGTAAAAGGATTCCCTGTGTGGCTGCAGACCCGTTCTCTGCTCCCTGCTCCCCTGAGCACATTTTCCAGCAGAGGGGTTGGAACCTGAAGGACATGGAGGCACTTCTGAAGCTGCACCCATGTCATGCTTCCCTTAAAAAGAGCTTGCACAAACATTGGGGAAGAGACAAAACCTCCACATAAGAAGCCATTCACATGCTAAATTCTGACTGAAAGTACCC